AGCCATCATCTTTAGAAACGGTTTTCATTCATCTGAATCATAGCCACGCGCTATTATACAATGCATAGCTATCAATAACACTTACTGCTTCAGACCCTTCCTCATGCTTTATCCATTTTTACAAATTATTATTTTATGGTACTGAACAACCCTCTAGGCTACTCTTCTTAATTCCTTCTGTTTCCTCTCTAAACGTCTCCAAATGTCCCTTTATTTCTAGCAATTATTTATAGACATGTATCAGTCCTGGTTTGGGGCTCCCTGGCTGGAATGCAATGTATTCAGGCTATCGTACATCATGGAAAACAAGTTACTTTTTTTTTTTTTTTTTTTTTTTTTTACACACACAATTCTCAAGCAATTCTCCCAACCACTGCAGTTAAGATTTTACCCCACTGGGCTTGCAGCATATTGTTACAAGACACACAATGTCAAATGTGTTTAAAATAATTTCTGTTAAACGCCTCCAGCAAGTGAAATGAGATGGCTGCCAAGTTCATTTAACCAGCCTTCACTTCCGAACGTTTAAAGAGTGAGATGTCCAAATGTTTCTGCCTGCCTATGTAATCCATGAGATTACAGTCACTCTCATTAATGTACTGAGGTAAGTCTGCAGCGTAACACAGATCCTAAACCCGAGTTGGCAGCTGGGTGGACCCCAGAACTACCTGAAATAAGCAGGGTCATAACTTAGAAAACAAAAATGTGAGAAATCAGCAGTACACTTAACACAAAACCCATTACAGTCAGTAGAAAAATTGCCATAGGTGTCACTAAATCAGGTTCAACTATTATTTTCCTGGTATATATACGCTGACTTCAGTCTCATACAGAGATTAGAGCCTTTATAAATAAAAAAAAAGGCAAACTATTTCTCTGCTGCTCTTCCCCCTCCCCCCCCCCCTTTCTTTTTTCCTTCCAAATAAATAGCCTCCACGTTTGCAGTTTGTTCAGGAGAAGACTTCCTAATAGAAATCTGAAAACATCTATGGTGACTTTAAGCATACATTTGAGTGTACTTTTGTTAGCAATTGACTCTAGGCTATGCCCAGAAACACGACAATTTTCCATGAAAACAGCTAATTAACTGTACCTAACTGTGTCATGAAATCTCTCCAGGAAAGATCTATCAGGAAAGAAATGTTACTATATTACCTACCATTTACATATTTTTATCATTAATTATAAACTGTGGAAAGCCCTAGCTTGAAAGTCAGATGAATATTTATTCATGTGACAAATGTACAAATTTTTATTCTCAGTAATTATGCCCAGGTATTTTTCTCTCTATTAAAGTGATGACACACAAATTGTAAATGTGCAAATAACCAGTGGTGTTTACTGGGAGTTTAAAAAAAATCACACACACAAAAAAAAGGTGAATGGCCTTAGCTAAACAGAAAATGTATTAAAAACACCACTAAAACACAACCTCACCAGGACTATGCACAAAAGATTCTTTAATTACTCATAGGCAGATCAAATAAATATGAAAGTTACACACTATATCCACATTTTCTACTTCTAACTATATCCAATGGCAGAGAAAGGAGGGTCCTTAAAAGGGGCTTTGCACAACATTTCACTGTAATCTTCTAAGTTCTGTGTCTTTCCCTAATTAAGGAACTAAATTTTCAAATCCTTAGGAAAAAACATCATTTTGGAAAACAATAAAAAGCTGACAACACCACCAAGGAAGTCCAATATAAACATTCACTTGAATATTAAGATCTATATATTTAAATTTGGGATGCTAACTCTCTCCAAGATTTATTTATTAGTAAATCTCTGATATTTCTGATGAATAATAGACAATATACATGTGCAATTTTAGTCCATAAACATGTGGGATGTCACTAAAAATTCCATTGGGTTTGTGACTGCTAGAATTATGGCCCCACAAGAAAACACAGAGGACAGCAATTAATAACTTCAAGCAAGATAATAATATCACCTGAATCCCTTAACAAGGCCTCAAAATCCTTCAGGCAAGCTTCACAGTCTAATATATCTATATCTTTTTCTACAGAATTACCCATCTCTCATCACAGAATTATCGGAATCTGTGAACATTTACACTTTGACCCAGTGATCATGAAGAGAGATCCAAGATACCTATATGAGCATTATTTATTTTTCAGCAGAAGACTGTTTCAGTCAATGGGTTGGATTCAGAGCTTAAATGAGGCTGAAGGTGGCTGTGGTAGGAAATAAGGTTACACGTATAACACAAAGCCTTTCTTTTGGAACATCAAAAAAAGAAATACAACAAGTTTAGTACAATAAGAAGTATTGGGAATCATACATGCAAGCACACGCACATAAAGATTTCTATCAAGCTCTGCAGTGCAACTATTGATTGGGAGCAGCAAGACAGCAGAATCTGATGAATAATTTTAAGATATATGCCATAAAATTTGAAGAACTATGGAAAACAGATGTAAACAACATGAAGACTGCATAGACAACTATGACAGATTCTAGCTAACACTGATTCTACAGGTTCACTTTTGCACAAAATAATTTTGCAAGTATTGGTGTCCTTGACACCAGGAAAATGAGGTTATGAAGTTTCATGGGATGAATACCTGGCAGAAAGAGGGAGAGGATAAGAAAAAGATGAAGTTGAGAAAAATTGTCCAAAATTTGGTTAACAGGTAAGGCAATCAAAATGCCAAATGATACATGGCAAAATAACAAAGTGCAGCAAGAGAAAATGGAGGAAAACAGTCACAGAAGAATTCACTGGAAGTTAGACTGAGAAACACGTTTACTGAATCAGAAGCGTAAAGTTCTATATAAGAAGTAAAAAAAGGAAAAGCAAGGATAGCTTATAGATGAGGAAAAAATAAGGAACTGCCAGTTAAAAAAAAAAAAATATTTCCTTGGCAGAGAACAGAAACTTGATAAAGAGTTTCAGTAAAGAAAGAACATATAGCAGATAACAGTTAAATATTGTCCCATAGCATGGAATTAACAAAGTTACGCATTAGACTAAATATTGTTTGGGAAGGGCATGGGGTACAGCAGAGGTGTAAACTTCAGCTTTGATTGAGAGAGATGAGGCCACTGAAAGACTTGCAGGAACTCACAGCTTATATCCAGAGCTCGTACACTACCAGCAGTATTACAGCTTAAACACTGCACAGTTTGAGCTGTTTGGCATAACTTTCTTTTACTGAAATACTGGATTTAGGGGCTGTGAATCTATTAAAACTACACCATCCTACTCAGTGGTCTAGGAATGAGCATGACAAGAATATGCTGTAGTTTAAATGAAAATGTAATAAAGTTGGTCCCTTGATCTGATTAGATAGTTACAAACTATTGACCAATTGTGCAAAGGAATCTCTGACATTTGTTAGCAATATATTCTCAGTTCATTATGAAACTTTTGTTACAACAAAGGGGGAATGGGATGTAGGACAGTCTAAGGATATTGAATAAGCGATCAATATCGGAAATAAATTAAGAATGTACTACAGACCTACAACAGAAAAGAGTTAGTGTTTCACCTGCAGCCATACTATAAAACATATGAAACATGTTTCTTGTTCGACTGAAAAGATCACCAATGGGTTCATTACATGCTTTTCACAAGTAAGGTATAAAAGAACATTTACCGGAATACACTTTTTAATCTGATGAAGGAGCAGCTCATAATGCATTTCACACCTGCAGCTTTTCAAACAATGGTAACTATATGTGAAAATGCAAAACCCACTAGAATGGTTACATGATTTCTAGGAACTACATAAATAATAAAATAAGGACAAAGAATAACTTCTAGTTCTATCAATATGTAATACCAGGAAGTGAAAGGTAATGTCTATCCTTGTTCAGAGTAACTAAAGCACGTCACCACATTAAGCTTCAATGAATATAAAATATTCATAAAAATATAATATACTTGATTCCAGCTTTCATTTCAAAATATTTCAGTATGCCCATACAGCCAAAACCTTATGTCAGTACTCACAGCTTCAACTGTATAAGGAGAATAAGGCCTTGTGTTCAACGATGTATAGAAAGACATACAAATACATAACCCCCAACTCTGATCTCAACTATATCACTGTCACTCCACTGATTTTAATAGCAGCTTCTACTGTTTCAGATTTCTTTCACCGAGATCCAGGTTAACTCCATAACATAATCTGATCATCCAATTACTGCTTACAAATGCAGTGGAAATACCTCTCAAGTGGAATGCAACAGCTGTTTAATAACTCACAACAAAATTGCACAACAGCTGAGAACAACGGTTGAAAAAACAAAACAACCTAATTCAGCCTTCATCTGCAGGAATAGTTGAGCTAGGGTGGTTGGTTGTACCCGAATTGAAATTTGGAACAGTATCTTATTCTTACAGGATTTCATCATCAGATAACATCAACACTGAATTTAATCAGAACATTTTCATTACTAACTTTAATTCTCAAAGTGTGTTTTTATTTTGTTGCAACTCTTGAATCTGCATTTACACAACTAACGTTGTTCAGTACTTCAATCTGCCCCACAATATTAGCATATTCATAATGCACGTTCCATTTATTCCTGTAACCTAGCCTCATGCTATATAAACAAATAAAATAACGCTTCTAGCAGTTAATCTAACAGAGAAAAAGGTGGAATTCCCACTCTGAACAGAAATTGTACATGTTGGTTGTTTGGTCTGAATCCTAATCATATCCTAGGGATTGTCTTTGCTAATTACAGATATGAATAAAATAGTGTAAACCTAAATCAAAGCTTTCATTACAAACTACATTATTTTCCTTTTTTTTTTTTTCTTGTCTATTTGACTGCAGAGACTTGACTGTCTTTTCAAAAATCATTACCTGCTGTCCCAAAGGGCTGCTCCCACCTTTTTTATGCTGGGAAGGGTTCAGTGAGCCACAAAATCAGCAAGAAAAGTTATGCAATATGATAATAATGCATTTATCAACACATAATTTGTTTAGGTGTTATTTATAGAGATATGATTGGCATGGACTTACCTGTAGGGGATCCCTCCATGACATGACCAACATACGGTCCTTCTTTGAACATTGGCCTATTATCATTTTGATCAATAACAGAAATATCTAGGCGGACTGGACCATCAATGGTTTTCCCACTAATATCTGTGACTTCAACTTCAAGCTGTATGAACAAAAAGAAAGGAGTAAATTCATTAGTTCACTGCCACAATGAGCAAAGGGTAAGAAAAAAAACAGCTCAGATCAGTGCGCTGCTGTAACCAGACCCTGACAAGGATACCACTTGCAGCCCATTCTTTTGGACTGGGCTCAGAGCAGATTTTCAATCTAAGCAAAAGAGAAAGATAGATGTACATTCAAATCAAGGTACCCCTTGGCAGTTGAAAATGCCCTATTCCCTGAAGAATGAAATTACTAGAATATAAGAAAAAAAAAAAGACCCCCTGTAAATTTGACACCAATCATGTGCAGATTTGGTCAGAATTTGTTTCTTTACAGTTTTCAAGCACATTTAGAGTGGACACAAATAAAATTATCACAGTATAATTGACATATGTCCTAATGTTCAGTTCAAGGCCTTTAAAAAAAAAGGCAAGAATACATTAGACATATTAAACACGTTTTCCCAGTGATGATAGCATGAGTATTATGTTAGGTAATTTTGACAGTTCTCCAGCTTTTTTAATAAGGTATGGAAGGGCAGAACAACATATTGAGTCTTATATAAGCAGGTATACATACACACGCACACTCACATCCCAAAATATGAAAGCCCCTGTTGACATACGCATCTGAAGATTTGTTTGGACTTCCTTTACTTTCAAAAACTGGAAACAAAGGTCATAGAGTGTATCTCAACCCTCCAATCCACTTGTGATGTAAAGTCACAATGTCTTACCAAAACTTAATCAGTCATTAGGACAAACCATGCCAAAGCTTCTTAGATAACAGAAAAGGTCAATTTAGATTGCAACTGCATGCTGTAGCTGTAAGTTCTCTCTCCCCACGAAGACGTCGTCAGTAAAACACAGCAATAAACTTATCAGAGACACAGCTACCGTTTTCATGTACCCTACCCATCCCTGGACTCAATTCTTTAATGGAGTTAAGCCAGCCAGAAAATGAACCTGAGCGGACGTTAATATCACCCTCTTCCAGCCTTGCCCTGAGAAAGCGGTAGCAGCAGGGGCTGGAAGTGTCTGAGCATTTTGTTTATTCTGCTAATTTATTCTTCATTGCCATGTCTTATACCGGTAAGTTATTTATAAGCTAGTGATAAATCCTACTGGGAAAGAATTAGGTCAGAATTCTAATTCCTTATTAAAATGGATGGCTTATTATCACATCTCTTTGTATTTTGTTATGTTTATAAGTACATTCCACTTTTATAGTTCACTGTGCTGGGGATGAGTAGGAGTATTTGTTATGAGTAAACCATCTACTCACATACACTATTTGTAAATAGCGCCACAGTCCATTTTAACATCTGCTCCCTGCTTATCCTCACTTCTCTAGCATTTGTTCTGCGAGCCTTTCCCAAGCCTTATTTTTTACTAGGTATATAGCTATCAGCTTAAAAGCAAACACACACACTGACGTAAAGACAACCGATTAATGTGGCATTGGTACAGCTGAAGGTATATGGAGGCACACGCCCCTTCAATTTCCAGGGCTTGTTTAACTCTGTACTCTAAAGTCAATGCAGTAATCTTAGGATTGTATAAGATGTAATGTGGACTAGAAAAGAAAACGCAGTCTTATTACTGAGCTGCATTAAAGCTAGATACAGTTTTAGATACAGTTGGAAACTGCTGACAAAAAGATTTATCTGTGTAAATGTTGACTCATCGAAACTATGTTAATTGCTTTGGGAAATAGAAGAATAGCAATATTTCTCTGTGAAATTCCAGCAAATTCATTTTCAAATTCAAGATAATTTGCTCTTAATCTATCTCTCAATATTAAGTGACTATACTGCTCACTGGAAAGAACAAAGTCTTTGCTAAATTTAAAAAACTACTTCATCTGCTTTATCGAAATTATAAGTCATCTAAAGCAAAGGCTGATCTAACACTACAGTTTTTTCTTTTTTTTTCCCAGACTTGCATAGATTAAGGAAGAGAATAGGAGATTCTTATTAACGACTGAAATAGATTTACTTTGTTATTGCCAAGTCCACCATGTCTGAGACCAACTGGCCAAAAAAGTTGGCATGACAGCTTCACAGGAATGGTTACGTGATCTCTGCTTCATTTTATTGACAGAGGACTTAATTCTACTAGTATTTGTACAATAATTTCCAGGCTTGTTCTAAGCATTACGGGTTCACTCACCAGCTCCTTTTAAACCCAGTCTTCTACAATGTTTTCAAAATAAAAGCCTGCAGCACCAAAATTATGACCATCTATCTTTACACGGTTAGTTTATGAAAGAAGCTACCTTATATCTTATCTTGCCTGACCAAAAAAATCCATAAAAGCCCCACCACCCACAAAACAAAATACCAACAAAGTAAAGAAAGAACAAAACAGAAAGAAGTACATTGTTACTTAAAAAAACCCAACACATGCAAGAAAAGAAAGAAGCATTCAAATAACAGACAATATTGGCACAGAACCCAAATTACTTTGAACAGGCTGTTAATAAAACCAGGTGGAAAATTGGATTGTGCGTAACTATCACAAGAGTGAGATTTCAGTCTTTCAATAAAGAAGAAAGGCAGGAAAGCCTATCTAGTTTTAATGTAAAACATGACTGATGTATGAAAGACACTGCATTCATTCTTTTGATAGCAAGAGATTCTAATTGAACATTCTGAAAGCATCTAAGTTCCTACCTGATTACAACAACATAACTCTAAGGAAAAGTGGTAAGCATAGAGACAAATTTGGGCAAATTGACAAAAAAAGTAAATCTGCAGAGCTCTGTAGCTATTTATTACGGGAAAACCTGATAAGATTGACTATGCCTTCAATGTTCTGACTGAAAAGTTATGGAATTATGTTCATAATGATGAAGTTATGTTCATTGTAATCTAACCAATCATATTTTCAGGAACACTTGAAGCTAAATCCCAATTTCATTTTTGACAAAAGTATACATGCAAACTACAAAGGATAATCAAGTGTTTCTGAGAACTGTTACACCTCACAACCTGTCTCCGTGACAGGATACAAAGCAGACTGTGGATATTGCTTCTAATATAGCTGAAAAACACTGATAAAATTAAGCACACCAATAAAACAGGGAAAAGCAATATAAAAATCGAAAACTGCAGGCAGTAATGGAGTTTAGCCTGTTTGTCTAGACAAACTCTCTCCTCTCAAAAGGGACTTCTTGACTTCCCATCCAATTTCCCTCACCGTATCTGAAGCGAGGATCTTTCTCTTCACCCCAAATACGAGGATTTTACCACAAGTTTAGTAAGCTTATTCAAAGCTGCACAAACCTGTTTTAAGCACTCTGCTTTATTTTATATAGTTCTGATTCCTTTCCACTCTGCAGTCAGCAACAACATTTACAGGAAAAGATAACCAGTCCCATTCTTACCATTACTTAAAGTAATTTCAAAGGTTTCTCTTCACAGAACGGTTGTTTCCATTTATTTATTGCTTTTGGTGAAATGATTCTGGATAGCCACCTTTCTTCGCTGCATATAAATGTCTATTTTCGCTTTGCAGCCAGCCAGCCAATGGCCCACGCAAAATTACATCATAAATTTAAAGTTTTTTATAAGTAAACCTGGAATACCTTTGAGTACTTAATTATCTTCAGAGTCTAATACAGGTTCTTTAGTCATTAACTGCCTTCTGATTTTAATTTCCAATTGGCAGCTGATAAGACCGTTTCTCACAGAATTCTTCCAGTTTTTTTCAGCAGATGTTTTTTCTATTTGTTCCTCGTTCCCAGCTTCACCCAGCCAAATAAAATAAAATAAAATAAACCCAGTAATTTCTGTGTGAAACCACCAGGTTCCAGCGGCAGCAGGTGCCCGCGGGCAGGAGCACAGGGCTGCACTGGGGGGGGCGGCTGTGAGGCAGCTCAAGGCTGCCCCCTGCCGGTTCCAGCCGGTTCTAGACGGTTCCAGGCGGTTCCAGACGGTTCCGCCGCGGCCCCACCGCAGGGCACAGCTGAGTCCCTCAGGGAAACCCCGAGTAAGAAAAGGCAAACGCTGCCCGGGTTGTGCCTTCATCGCGACCCACGGGGTTTTCACCCCATCGCTCCACCCCCCCACGGCGGGAAAAGCAGAGGAGTAAAATCTGACGGAGACTGAGGAAAAGGCTCATCGTCCCGGAACTGGGGTACGCTCAAAAATCGGAAAGGAGCACTGTGACGTTACAAAAGGCTGTTATACCCCCACCTGCCCCATGTCAGGTACTTTAAGGTACCTCCAGGTACAGACCAGAGCTGGCTGTATTTATTCCTAGCTTCATTAGAGGTATCATTAAGTTGGTTTATTATCAAATTCTTAAGTGTAGATTGACAGTAAACAGAGGTGATGGACTTAAGGATCTTTCATATAGGAAATTTTCCCGGTAAGAAAACGAACACATTTGGCCATCTCTGGGTCATAAAAAACAGTAGAGAAATTCTCTTTATAGTGAAAGGTTTTAGTAGAAAATTGATGCAATTACCTAAAACAACACAGAGAAGACAATAATTCAGACACACAGAAATTAATTGCAATTGAATTTTCCCGATATTAAGAATATGAATAAAATATTAGCTAATTTTTATATGGCACAAGAAGAGACAGAGGGAGAGGGTGTAAAACCAAAATACACTGCTTGTAATAGGTATGGGTAATTTTATCCCAAACTACTTGATGACAGGGTATCAGTTACCTCAGCAAGGTTGTACAGATGGCCAAAAATTGCGCCGTTACCTGCAATGGGAGAATTTAGTCTCACATTCAGAGTTAGACCCTAGGTGGGAAGGGATTAATTAGCCATTCTAAGTACTCCTTTGAGCATCTTACAGACTTTATCTTGCTAATGCATCCACTTAAAAAATCAGATTCTGATTCCCTAAAAATACACAATTTATTACTCTAATTTTATTGGTTTCTTATCTAGTAATAGCCATGTACCCTTTTATTAACGTGCCATTTTGCAATACCCTCACAAGTGAAATATAAGCAGTTCCAGTCTGAAAGGATTGTTG